GGCCAGTATCACGTAATTTTCCAACAGTGGGGGAGGTACTGGTGGTTTAAAGGGCGATGGCCTTGAGGTATTATCATCAGACTAACCAGCCCAGGTAAATTCAATTTTGTGTCTAATCCCACAACAGTGGCCTTTTCATTCGTTCGAGTAAGAAAAAAAATAATTGTGAGGTCCCCGCGGCCCCCTTTCCATTCGTTCGAGTAAGAAAAAAAAAATAAAAAATTGTGAGGTTCCCGCGGCCCCCTTTCCATTCGTTCGAGTAAGAAAAATAAAATAAAAAATTGTGAGGTCCCCGCGGCCCCCTTTCCAGTCCTTTGAGTAAGAAAATGTTCAGCTCTCGCGCTTTCGCGGGTTACAATCGGCGTCGCTGGGCTAATTGCAAGGAGACGAACACAAAGCATGCCGCATGTATCTTCAGGTGGAGAGTGCATAGATACGCTCAGTGCATACTCACGCGAACAATTTGTTGACTGGATCTATATTCAGGATGTAGTGCACAGATGCGCTCAGGCATATTCACACTAACACTTTCGTGGATGCAATTACGGCGAGCCTAGATGCATCTCCAGATCTTGGCGCCATCCACCTAGCGAATGCACTCAGTTTGCCGGCTTTTAGATCATTTTTTTTTTCCTTTTCTAACTTGGGTCCGTAATTCAACAGCTCATGGGTGTGTCAACGGAGTTACTCTCGCTTGGCGGAGGAGTGAGTTCCGCCGGAACGGCCGGTGTCAACAACAGCTGTGCAAAACGCGGAATTGCATCTTCACACACAAAGGGCCTAGATACGATAACAATTTTTCGATCTTTTCTACGTTTTCCTCCTACTGTGATGCCCCTGAACACAAGCCACCATCAATCAATATGGATGCATCCCGCAGAAAGGATGACTTGTATACATTCATTAAAAATCAGGGTGTGGAGAAAGCCGCTCGGCCTTCTCGGTACGCTCTCGCTTCGCCGCTTCTATCGTCAAGTTGGTTCGGCAAGCGCAACGTGGAGGGGTCCATGGAAAGACATATATAGATAAATAGGTAGATGGAAAGAGGCTCAAAGAGGGAGGGAGAGAACGATAGAGTAATATGATGGGACTCGGTGGTCTACGCACGCATGCATACATGCATTGGAAATGCGGTTTCCGGTCAATCCTGTGTCGGCTTTGACCCGCGTTGGCTAACCAAGCAGTGGCTGGGAGGTGGGAGAGAGAGAGACTCGGTAATGAGCGAAGAGTGATGATGTACACAATATGAGAACGAAGAGGCCAGCTGTAGCATATCAGAAAGTGAAATGCACTGACAACCTAGGATCTAGCAATGAGGAAAGTGGCAACAACCAGCAGCATAGGTGCAACAATCAAAAGATGTCAATGTGCATGATGCAAAGAGCAACCCAACGAGAAATCAACAACAACACATTTCTATCATTATCATCATGGGCTGTGAAACAGCGCAGCGGAATATCTAGTAACCAAAGGACACGTGAACAGACAGACACGGATAAACTTCGGAAGGGCAAGACATCAGAAAGATTGCCCTTCCGCTCACACACATGGGGAGAGATCCATAGACATGCGAGATAGAGAGGGGGGAGACATAGGCAAGCAAGTTTAACCCAAGTCTGATCTCCAAATGTCGTACACAGTCCAATCCCAGTGTAAGTCCGATCTGAATGTCCTGTCCAATAAGGCAAAGGCCGTGTTCAAACAATGTCTGCAGTTACCTCTATCTCTAATCTAAGAAGAAGAAGAAGAAGAAGAAGAAGAAGAAGAAGAAAAACTTCGGAGGAGTAGGAGGAGAAGAGGAGAGGAGAAGAAGAAGAGGAAGAAGAAGAAGAAGAAGAAGAAGAAAGTTGGGTGCTTTCTGCACTTACCTGGCGATGGCTGAACTTGCAGGTACCGCGGAGCCAGCTATGGCGCTGGGCAGGTAAGTCCTCTTCTCTCTCTCTCTCTCTTTCTCTTTCTCTCTCTCTCTCTCTCTCTCTCTCTCTCTCTCTAACTCCACTACCCTCCTCGGCGCTGGACTCCTCCAGCGCTGTGCCTCATGGCCGATGAGCAGCGCAGCTGCATTCTCGA